TAATCATACATCACATTCAGATCTCTGCCCAGCTAAAAAGCAGCTGGACTCATCTGTCCTTAGCACTCAAATTATCTCCAGTCATGCCAAGCAAAGAGCCATTATCATCTCACAATGTGCCAAGGGTCTCTTTTAATTAAATCAGATTTGATGTGAGGGTAAAATTGTTTTTGTTTTTTTATTAATTTCCCATTTGATATCGCATCACGCTGCCAGACCCAGCGCTAACAATAAACCAATGAGATGCAGCGTGTGAAAGGAAGTCTGACCTGATAAATCAATGAGCCAATCAGAACAGACAATTGGACAGTAAAATGCAGGATGTGAGCAGTCCTGTAAGCAAATCAAATTTCCTGTAAAAGGACAGCTGTGAGATGATTGGTGAAGCATTTGTTTTGTGTAAAATGCGCAGAGTGGGATTTCAGCAAAGAAACCTGTGCCATATTCATTCACCGTCGTAATCTAGCTTAACCAGGTGCTGAAAAAGTGCCTTGGGTATTTAAATGAAGTCACTGTCATTCTTTTCAGCACAAACACACCTGTCTATGTAAATAAATAAAATTAGAAAGTTTGTAAAAGTGAGCGCTATTTGCTTGCCGTAATTAACGTTGTGCTATTACCGCCCACAGAAGGCAGGCGATAAATAGGGTTTATTAAAAATTGAAGTTTGTGTACATTTTCTACTCATCGTGGCAGTAGTAATTCATCAAATGATGATCAAATAATGGAGAACAGCATTATAATGGGGCATATATCCAGACAGCATGCAGTCGAGCAGACTTTCTGCATCGTAATTGTAGAGTGATACTGTTATAGTCCTACTAAAAGCAGTGGTTCTCAACAAGGAGGACACAAGATGATTACCTATGACAGGGCAAGAAGCATTAAAATAAGCTAAAACAAGTAAAATTCAAGATATTTCTTACTTTAACACTTCCTCCCAACAACTTTTTTGTCTTTGAAAAACCAAGGTTGCTGTGTATTTATGAGGTAGCCTAATTTTAAGTGCAATTTTTAGACCTGAAAAAGAAATCTAAATCAATTAAATAAAACTCCCAGGGCATTTTTTATAATGAATATAAATTTTTTCAAGCCATGCCAAGCTCCAAAATATTTTATTGGGTATAAATTGAGTAAAAAATATAGTTCTGTCAGGACCACTATCGTCAAAGATGATTGACAATTAGCATACAGTTTGGATTGGCGGTATGGTTCTGTTCTGGGCAAGAACTCCCTGCGCATCCATGCAGCCTAGGGTAATTAGCTATTGAGCAATGCGAAAACTGCTGATAGTACAACGGGATTTTATATATGAATACTTAGATAGGTGTCGTATTCCCATAGGTTTGTAGCGAATCAGCTCATGGGGAAATATGAATAATTAATCATAACTAGTTATAATTAATTATAAACATTTAGATCCGCTGTAGATATTTACTTGACCTCTCAGGGTCAACTGTCTGTCAATTCTAAGAATGTTAATTTCCTGGTTAAGGGAAATAACTTTCATACTGTACAACTCTACACAGAGCTTGTAGCATAAATCTGCATGATTAGGGACTCCAGTTATGAGCAAACAATGAACAACGTCAAGTGTGATACAAGTAAGACTTTATTAACTACATAAACACTTAAACTAGTCTAACATACTACATAAACACACACACACACACACACACACGCGCGCGCGCGC